GCCAGGCAGAACTCGGGGGTGTGAGTGTGAGAGGCATGCCTGGCAAGGAGCGGCCTGGCCTGTGGGACGCTGTGGCCCCCCGCCCCAGTGGTGTGCGGGGCAGAGGGGTGAAGCTGAGGAGGGCCAGGTGCCTGCGCCCCACCAGGAGTGGGCGGAGAGCTCCTGGGCGGGAGGGAGAAGCTGCATCCGTTTCCTGAGGCCCCTACATGAGAGGAAAGGCTGGGAGGGCTTGCGCAGGGCATCTCCGAGGCAGGGGCTCACACAGATGCTCGTGTGTGCACGGGCTGGGAAAGTGGCGCTCGTGTCGGTTGCCATCTGTGCCAGCTCGTCGCCGCCCGCCCGCACCAGCACCGTTCTTTATTTTACCCAGGCCTGCTGCGTCTTGGGCCCCGGCTCCTGCCATGACGTATGAAGGTCACGGAGGACGGGGTGCAGGCGCGGGAGGTCGCAGCACTGTCCAGCTACCTGCCTGCGGCTTCTCCTGTTGGGAGCCACATTTTGGCTCGCGCTTCGTGGTCCACGTGAGCAGATGGAGGAAGGTGGTTTGACCTTCTCCTGTCTCTGCCTAGGGCTTAGTTCTTCCGGAAGTGGGCCCTGGGATCAGAGTGGGGAATGTTGACATGAGGTGGAGAAGGGCCAGCACCATCACGTGAGGCTGACGCCAGATGTCCCCCTCCTCCTGTGGCTCCGTTTTAGGGATGCATCTGCTGCTGGACTTTTGATCTTTTCAGTACTACCCGGACACCCTTTTCCCGTTCCCAGTTCTCGAGAAGCGTGTAGCCTACTGATTGGGAGCTAGCCAGCCTCGTCAGGTAGCCCAGTCTTGCTCCTCGCTGGCTGCGTGACCTCCAGAACGTACTCAGCCTTCCTGCACCTCAGGTCCCTCATGTCTGACGGGGGAGTAACATCACCTTCTTCGTAGGATTGCTGTGAGAATGGAATAGGTTGATTGGTATAAAGTACGTAGATATCTATCAGCCGTCTATTGCTATATTACAAACCACCCCAAAACTTAGTGCCCTCGGATAACAGCATTGTGACCCTTGCTCAGGGATTGCAGTGTGGACGGGCTTGGTGGAGGCAGCTCCTCTGCTCCACGCAGTGTCAGTTTGAGGTGGACGACCTGGTTTTGAGATGGCTCATCCTGCTGGCTGACAGGTGGGTGCTGGCTGTCGGTTGGGAGCTCAGCGGAGCTCTGGACTAGGGGCCTCGATTCTGCTCCATGGGCCTCTCCACTGGCTACCTGGGCGTCCTCACGCATGGTGGCTAGGTCCCAAGGGACGAAGGTGGAAGCATTTTTATGACCTAACTTCGGAAGTCATAAGCGTTGTGCCTTCTGCCCTCTGTTGGTCTAGGCCGTCACGGTGGCTCACCTGGTTTCAGGAGGAGACAGACTCTGCCTCTTCGTAGGGGAGAGGCAAGGTTCTAGAAGAGCACGCAGGATGAAAGATAATGCTGCGGGTTTCTTGGGAAAATAAAGTCTGCCATGGAATAGGTTTGGGCATGCAGTAAGCCTCCATAAATGTTTACTACCGCTGGTTTAAAGCCATTGTCTGCTGTCTTTCATCCCAGCCTCCTCTTTCTGAGAGGGTGGTAGTATAGCGGAGTGGTTATATGCATCTGCTCTGGAGCCAGGCTGTCTGGGGTCAGATCCTGGCTCAGCCCCCTACAGCTGTGTGACCTTGGGCAAGTGGCTTAACCTCCCTGGACGATAGAATTTCTAATAGTGCATACCCCGTGGGACTGTGAGAATTATGTGAGTTAGTCAGCATGCGGCACGTCCCACAAAGCCTGCAAGTACTGTTAACTCGTTACTTTTCTTAAATGCTTCATTGGTGGGTCTCTTCCAGAAAGATTCTCCTAGTTACACATCCTAGTAGTAGAGATGAAGCTCAATCCGGAGTAAGTTTGTGAACTGGAAGTCCCTGCATTTCCAGAAGCACAAAGATTGGCGGGGAGAAAGGGAAGTGCATTGTTGTAAGATTCTTATATTCCACCTGAGGTGGCATGGTATCACTTGAGGGTCGACTGTGATCATTTAAAATGTGTACTGAAAACTCTAAAACAACGTCTAAATAGCAAAAGAAAGCATTGGAGCTGCTAAGCCAACAAAGGAGATAAAATGGAATCATAAAAAAATATTCACTAATCCAAAAGAAGGCAGAAAAAGAGAACAAAGAACAGGTGGGACAAATATAAAATAAATAGCAAGATGATGTATTTAAACCTATGCATATCGATAATTACATTAAACGTAAGTAATCTAAATACCCCAATTAAAAGGCAGAGAGTTTCAGATTGGGAGGAAGAAGCAAGACTGAGCTATATGCTGCCTACAAGAAACACAGTTTAAATATAAAGATACAAAGAGATTGAAAGTACAAGAATGGAAACAGCTACGCTAGTACTAATCAAAAGCAAAGGTAACTGGATTTATCGTGTGAGCATTTTGTGATGTATATAAATATCGAGTCACTATCATGTACACCTGAAACCAGTATGATATTTTATGTCAGTTATTCTTCAATAAAGAAGGAAATATTTGAAAGAAAGCTGTAGTAGATATATTAATAATAGACAAAGACTTGTATATATATATATATAAAAGAACTTTCCAAATTCAAAAATAAGAAAATAACTCAGTAAAGAACTAGGTAAAAGATATGAAGACACTTCAATTAAGGTGTACTGATGGCAAATAAACATATGGAAAAATGCTCAACATTATGAGTCATTAGGAAAATGCAAATTAAAAGCATTGAGATCAAAACAATGTAATACTATTCATGGCAGCTTCATTTGAAATAGCCAAAAACTGCAAACAACCTAAATATCCATCAATAGGTGAAAGATAAACTGTGGTGCATGCAAACGATGGAATACTACTCAGCAATCAAACAACGAACTGCTCACGCACCACACGACACGGATCGGTTTCCGAATCATCATGCTGAGTGAAAGCAGCCAAACCGAAAAAAGAACACGTGCCGTGATCCCATTTATATGCAGTTCTGAGAGACGCGGGTTCATCTGATCGTGACAGAAAGCAGCTCAGTGGCTGCCTGGGGATGGGCGGGCAGGGGCGCCCAGAAGGGGTGACGAATATATTATGTTGACTGTAGAGGTGGTTTCACAAGTGTGTGCTTATGGTCAAACATGTCAAATTGTGCACTTTAAATATGTGCAGTTTAGCATGTGTCAAATACACCTCAATGAAACTGTCTAAAAATGGATGGGAAGAGCTCTGCAGATGGCAGACCCCCACTGCCCCTGCCTGGCCGTTCAAGGTCGGAAGGACCAGCTGTGACCCCACAGCCCCCTGAATCCTGCGTTTCCCCCCCTCTCCTGTTTGGTTGTGAGCTTTTCACATTGGCTCCCAGCCTCTGTGCATTTCTCATGCACCAAACATTTGATTCTTTATCCTCTGTTGGTGGGTCATTTAGAGTGTGGATTCTGGGGAGCCAAATCCTCACCCGAGGTGATGAGAGTAAGTCTTCCCAATAAATGAGCAAGCTGAGAGTCATTCCTTGGTGCCATTGCTTCCCGTGTACCAGTAAGGACATTTGAGTGTTGTGACAAACCCAACTCAAACAGGCTTCGGTGTAAAAGGACCTTATGGGCTCAGATTTTGGGAACGCTACGAGGTAGGTGTCAGGCACAGCTTGATCCCAGTGCTGCGACTCGAGTTACCCCTGTTCTTGTTTTGTTCTTGTCGGCTTCCTTCCTAGGCAGCCTTCCACGTGGTGGTGGCAGAGGCAGCCGCCAGCAGCGCAGGGAAGAGCCCTTCCTTCCTAACGGGTCCAAGTTCAGCCCTCGTGGCCGGGCGTGGGTCAGCGCCCCAGCCTGAGCTGGTCCCCGTCCAGGGGAGATGGGCTCTCAGTGCACCTGGGTCTCCTGCCTGGGAGCCAGGGGTGGAGTCCGCCAGAGCCCAAGAAGATGGACAGAAAGTAGGGAGAGGATGTTCTCCAAAGGCAGATGGGCCATGAAGAAAAGGGCTGGATGTCCGCAGGCAGAAGCCACAGGCGACCCTGCGCCAGGAAACAAATCCAGTTATTTTTGTTTTTTGACTAAGTAGAACATTAGCATGCTTCCAAAAGTCAGAAGTAAGCAAAAAATCAGTCCCTCTGCGTGAAGCATCCGCCCTGTTCCCCACCCCCTGGAAGGCAGCCAATTTCACCGAGTTCTCATTTATCCTTCCGTTTCCTTCTGTAAAGATGAGAGCTGTGTGTTTTCTTGTTTCCTCCCTTTTTTTTGAGGAGGATCAGCCCTGAGCTAACTCCTGTCAATCCTCCTCATTTTGCTGAGGAAGACTGGCCCTGAGCTCACATCCGTGCCCATCTTCCTCTACTTTATATGTGGGACGCCTACCACAGCATGATTTGCCAAGCGGTGCCATGTCCTCCCCTGGGATCCGAACCAGTGAACCCCAGGCCGCCGAAGCGGAACGTGCCAACAACCACTGCACCAACAACTGGCCCCCTACTCCCTTTTTTACACAAAAAATAGCATACTATTTGTTCTCTTGCCTTTCCTTTTTTCTTTTTTTCAGTGAGGAAGATTGGCCCTGAGCTAACACCCATTGCCAGTCTTCCTCTTTTTGCTTGAGGAAGAACAGCCTTGAGCTAACATCTGTTCCAGTCCTCCTCTATTTTGTATGTGGGACCCTGCCACAGCATGGCTTGATGAGTGGTGTGTGTGCGGGTCTGTACCTGGGATCCGAACCTGTGAACCCTGGACCGTTGAAGCAGAGTGTGCAGAACTTAACTGCTACACCACTGGGCCAGCCCCTGCCCTGGCTTTTTTTACTTAAGAGAAAGAGAAACATTTTTAGCTAGCCATACTCGTTCCTGCTGTCATTAGTACATGGGATTGAGTGTTAACCTGTAGATAATAGGATATACGTGGGAGCCAGACGACTGCCAGCCCTTCCTTCTGGTGCATGATGTCTTCATTCTCTCAAGCCTGGGTTGTAAGTGACTCTCTCTCCTCTTCCGATACAGATGGAGGCAGCTATGCCATCCGCGACTCCCAGGCCCCCAGTCTGAGCTCAGGGACCGAGAGCTCCCCCTCGAGCCCCACCAGACACAACTGGGAGATGAATTATCAAGAGGCAGCAATCTACCTCCAGGTGAGTGTCTCCCGGTCAGGACCTGGCCGTTCTCGGCGCCAGCCTGGTCTTGCCCATACAGGAAGGGCGATGTGCGTGGGCTTCTCTCGTGACCCCCCAGTCGGTGGCTGTGCCTGCCCTGAGGTTCCGAGTCTGTCCACGTGGCCTTCCCTGCCCCACTCCGTCTTCTCAGAGGCACAGGACAGGCCAGGTCTCAGAAGGGACCTGTTTTTGGTGCACTTAATGCTGTTGCAGGGGTTTGCCGACCGAGTCGGGAACTCGGAGATCTTTATCCCTTCACTGCTTGACTTGCTGCTGCTTTCGTGTTTCCTATTTCATGCTTGTTTTTTTGTTTTTTTTCTTTTTTTTAATAAAAATAATACTTTTTAATAAAAGTAATACATGCTCATTACAATAAATTTAGGTACAAAGGAAATGTGAAAAAACATTCACCTAAGGCAGGCACTGTCACCATTATTTAAGAATAATACATAGATTTTATATGTTTTGTAAGGTAATTTTAAAGTCATGTGGTATCTACAATTGTATAATCTGCCTTTTTTTCGTAACATGTAGCATAAGCTTTTTTTCTCATGTTTTTATAACTGTTGTAAACAAATTTTAATGACTTCATGTCAGGCAGATGTATCCTAATTTACTTAACCAGGTTGGGTATTTTCCCTTTTGATATTTCCCTTATTATGTATTATGCATCTCTCTACGATAAATTATAATCTGAAGACAATCTATGCATAGAGCTATTATTACTCTCTCTTTTTCTCTTTAATATCTAGGATTGTTTAATTAGGAAAAACTCTAAGAAGTGGAATTACTGGATGAAAGGAATAAACACTTTTTAGGGCCCTTGATGTATAGTATCGAATACTCTCCAAAGGAGATATTGCCTCTTAACTGCCAGTCTTACTGTCTGTGGCATTGTCATCTTAATCTCGCCATTCTTGTCACTATAAGATTTCAGTTTCTGGTGTGCGTTGACTAAGGGTTTGGGTGACGAGATGGAATTTTTCTTAAATTCATCTGAATGGTAATTCTTCATAATCTTTTTTCTTTGAAGCAACTCTCCATTGCAAGTATTTGTTTTGTTATTTTTTTTTAAAGATTTAATAAAATTTAGATATTCATTTGATAAAAATCAAATATTTACTTGTCAGTATGTTTCTCGTGTTTTATGCAGTATCGCAGATAGTTGTACTCAGGTGAAGGCAAAGGAATGTGTTAGGGACATTTTGGAAAGCTCAAACACGCCTGTGGATGATCTGGCAGGGTCACCCAGGGTCACGGTCACCTTCCCCGAGGTTGACCAGGTGCTGGGTAAGAGCTTGGATGGGTCAGAACACCGAGTTAGACTGGCCTGGGGGACTTCCGAAACCTGACAATTCCTTCTTTCCTTAAGCAGGTGAGGATATTAGTAATAAAAAGATCTAACTGTGAGTGGCCACTTGCTAATCTTTCTGACAACCCTCTGAGGCAGTTTGATCGTCTCCCGTTTTACAGACCAGCAGCTGAGACTCAGGGGCTGGATGAGCCCAAAGCCCCCACCTAGGAGGTTGCAGAGCATGGACTTAAACTGCGTCCATCAGCCTCCAAATGATGTTCTTTCTTCTCTACGTTGTTCCCTCATTTCTATACCTGACCACATGTAGCCACTTGAAAATGGGCCATGTGGTTGTGGAAAAGGAGGTTACAGAACAGCGGGTGTAGTATGATAAATCTTACATAGCATGTATGTGTGTATATTTATGTGTACGTCTGTATATATACACACCCCCAAACACACACGCGTAGGTATGTATGTAGCATCATATACCTGTGGATGTGTGTGCACAGACGCCCATTCACATCTGGAAAGCTATTTAAATACTAAAGGTGATTATCTTTGGCTGATGGAATTTTTACTACCTTCTAATCTTGTATATGATTTGAATCATTTTACCAAAAATGCATCATTTAAAAAAATAAAAGCAGAACTCAGATCCCTGTGAACAGTAGTTCGTGGCTGTTTCTGGAGGATGGTTTGCCTGTTGTCCGATGGCTCTCCTCTGCCTGCTGTGCACTCGAGCTGCAGCTCGGCGCCTGCACCAGGCTGTTGGGAGCCTTGGAGAATCGGCCCTTCACTGCTTTGAGGATGCCTGGTGCCCGCAGTTTCCTCTCTTCCCAGATTTTCCCTGCGAACTCACTCACCCTCAGGAGCCACGTGCTCGGCGGGCCTGGTGCCTCTGAGACAGGACTTGTTTTCTGCGTGGACTTCTGCCTCAGGGAACAGAGAGCGAGGGCCTGGAAGTCACGTACAACTGGCCTGCCTTCTTAGTTTTCCTAATCTAGTTCATGATCAGCAGCCAGGAAGCAAGGCCAGCATTCTCCTCGGGGTTTGGGTGAGAATCTGGTGACGTGGGTAATATTTCACTCCATCCTTGTTGGTGGAGACCTCATCCTCCACCTCCCCTCTGGCCATTCCAAGTCCTCAAGGTAAAATCTGAGCCCCCACATCAGTGGTCTCCTCTAACCAGACCTTGCTTCCTGGCTGTTTGTCAGAAGAAATTACCCGAGAACTGCATTTTTTAGTAATCCAAATCAGAAGCGTCCAGGCCACCGTGGGTGTCCCCCAGCCATGGTGGTGCTGGGGAAAACCACAGCCCTGCCCAGATCACAGGACTATGAGTGAGGCCTGTCCAGCTGGCCCTCCGTTTGACCGCTGGGATGTTTGTTCCCTTTGTCAGGCCTGTCCCCGTTGAGTCTGTGATTTGTCTTTATGTTTTGGTAAGGAGGGTAGTGACGGATCCAGCTTCAGGGAAGTGACTCACTCAGAGTTACCCTGCAAACGGCAGCCAAGGTCCGAGCTCCCGCCTCCTAGCTCCTGGACAGTCTCAGGGCCAGGCTGGGGCCTGGGGAGGTGATCTCTTGCGGGAGATCCTACCAGACATCTATTAAACACCTACTGTGTGTGCCAGGCACCATGTCAGGTGGGTCTCAACAATACCCCTTGCCTTCCTAGCTCTGCAACAGGCCTGGCGAGCTGAAGCCGCCTTGGGCTGACACGGGAGCCCACCAGGCCGCAGCTCTTTCCACGGCACCATATACCACCCCTGGGCCCAGAGATGCTGCTTCTTGTTAGCCAGGCTCCGCACCTTCTGCAAGAATCACTGTGGCAGGTGTTAGTTTTGCCCTCCCTGGAATGAGGGTTTGTCAGGATGGCAAGGTGGCCTCATCCCAGAAGAGTCGATCCCTGGAGTAGCTGAAGGTCTGACTGCGTTCCAAGATGGCTGGAATGCTCTCAGAGGGGCTCTGGGTGAGGGCACCTGGGGGTCTGTTCTGGCCCTGCCACGTTCCTCCTCTAGGATGGAGCCGATGGGAAGAGTGTCTCCTCTGGGTGTTAGCGCTGGGAGTGAAGGAGTCAGGCTTTCTCAACGCAGCCCTGTGGACATCGGGGGCTGATAATTCTGTGTGGTGAGGGGCTGTCTGTCCTGTGAATTTTGGGATGTTGAGCAACATCCTCGGAATTCACCCACTAGATGCCAGCAGCACCTGCCAGGTGTGACAAGCAAACACGTCTCCATGCCAGGCTGGGTGGGGGAGGGCGGGGGCAACATTGCCCCCCGATGAGAAGCACTGAGGTGAAGTGGTGCATGCAAAGCACTAGCCAAGTGAGCACTCATGATGTCTTGGCTGCTGGGCGGGGTACCAATGTGATGAAGCTGAAGAGGTGGCCACACCTCAAGGAAGGCGGTGAAGACCCCCCTCTCCAGAAAGCCGACCTGACAGGGAGGGTCAGCAGTGGCCGTGGGGTGTTGTCTGCTTGTACTCCCAAGTGAACCGTTCCCAGGGCTGTGTAGTTTAGTTTCTGCAGCATCAGTGGGAAGCCAGTAGATAGGAGAGCAGGGACGCTGGCATCGGACTGCCTGACTCTGAGCTCGGGCGCCCCTGACGCTCCCTGTGCCTCCATTTCCCCTCTCCCTCAAATGGTAATAAAGTGCCAGCTGGAAGGGGGAGTGGTCAGGAGCAGAGTGTCGAGTGAGTGCTCGAGTGCTGAGTGCTCGGCAAGGAGCTGAGCACTGTGCCTGGGGGTGGCGTCAGTCAGGGTCGGCCGCTGTCTCATTACTGTTTGCGGACAAGGCCCGTCCTTTTGCAGGGTTAGGAAATGAGGCAGAAATAGCAGCATTAATTCGGAAGTGGGCCACGGGGCAGCCTGAGTCAAGCAGAGTATAGTCGAGGTGCCCCCAGGCTTCCCTTTCATCTCAGCGTTACTGTAACTTACGATACTAATAGCGAGCATCTGCGGGGAGCTGACGTGTGCCAGATGTGTGCCTCAGTGTCTCCCAGGGGCCCTGGGAGGAGGTGCTCGTGTCATCCCACTGTTGGTTGGAGAAGGCAAAGGAACTCGGTGTTACCCAGGGAGGAGGGAGGAAGCCGGACTCAGCGTCTGTTTGCCCCAGACCCCCAGCTCCTCCCATTCCGCAGACCCTTCTGAGAGGGGAGTGTGGCCTCGGGATCAGATGTGCCGCTTCTTCACTACTTCTTAGTCTCTCAGGACTTTTGATCCTTTGGTTCCTCCGGGTGGTCCTGAGGAAGCCGCGTGTCTTTTGAGCCCCATCAGCAGGAAGGGCGAGACTTGACTGGGGCGCAGTTTTGTGAAGATAATACTGTTGATTTTCCATCTTCTTCCATCTCTGGCCTCAATGTTCTCTTAGCTGCCAGGGGCCTTCCTATCTCCCCTGCCCATGGCCCCTCTTTGGTGCTGGGGCCTCTTGAGGCTCGTTTCCCACGTTGCCCTTGTATTTCCAGGAAGGCGAGAATAACGACAAGTTCTTCACCCACCCCAAGGATGCCAGAGCGCTGGCGGCCTACCTCTTCGCACACAACCACCTCTTCTACCTGATGGAGCTGTCCACGGCCCTGCTCCTGCTGCTGCTCTCCCTGTGCGAGGCCCCAGCCGTCCCCGCGCTCCGGCTGGGCATTTACGTGAGTGTCCGCAGGGCGGGAGCCATGGCTCTCGGAGGGCAGGCACCAGATAGCCGTCTCTCAGGCTGACTCAAGCCTGAACGGGAACATTCTGGAAGGGCAGACCCAGCAAGCAGATTTCAAACAGAGAGACCCTGGGAGGCCATACAGGCCTCAGGAGCAGCAGTGGCTCACCAGGCTCACCTGGGGTCCCTGCTGAAGTGAGTGCAGCCCCCCGCCCAGTGTCTCTGTGAGTCCGCTCACTGGTGATGGGGCAGGGGCTCCATCTGATGGCCTCACTTAGGACCAGTGGCCACACCTTGGCTCCAGGTGGGCAACACACCTGATGAGCAGTCCTGCCCACTCTCTCCAGCCCCAGGGAAAAAGGCAGTGGGTGTGATCGCCAGTGGGCCAGGAGAGGGCTGCTGATGCCACATCTCCACGCCCTCTGCTGCAGGTCCACGCGACCCTGGAGCTGTTCGCCCTGATGGTGGTGGTGTTCGAACTCTGCATGAAGTTGCGGTGGCTGGGCCTCCATACCTTCATCCGGCACAAACGGACCATGGTCAAGGTGACGTGTCTGTCTCCTTACAGCATTTTCTCCCATGTCACCTTCAAGCCCGTGCCTTCAGTTCAGTTCCACATCCCCGGTGGGCCCAGTCCTGCACCTGAGTGTAACCGTGGGTCCCTGTCCTCGCCATGCTTCCAGCCTTGCAGATCCGCGCTCCGGAGGTCACGGTGATGCCAACAGTAGCTAATGTGATGTAGTGTTTAGTGCGTGCCAAGCACTGGCATGACGACCTTTGCAGGAGATGAATTACTGTTCCTAGTTTCTGGCCAGCCAGTCAGAAGAGAATAAGATCTAAACCCCACAGAGCTGGGATTCAAACCCAGGTCTGTCTGGCCTCCAAGCGCAGGCTGATCAGTACCCAGTATTGAACACCGGCTCTCGGGGCCGCAGAGAGAGGCGTAAGTAGGAATGGGTCAGAGTGGCGGTTTGCAGTGTAAAAACCAAGAACTCTTATCTGGGGAATGTGCCCGAGGAGTTGGAGATCAAGATGCATCGCGGACCTCAGGGGCGCTCACGGTGCGAGTAGGGAGAGCCTAAAGCCAAGGCGGGTGGATGTGGCCGGGCAAGTGCTGGTCTTGCTCATCGACTGCCAGCTAACTGACTGCGGGGGGCGTTCCTCTTGGGTTCGTTCTCCTGGGTCCACGCATCTGTGCAGCAGCCGACAGCTCCTCTCCAGGGGCTGCTTGATGTGGGGGAGGTAGGAGAGAGCTGGAGAGAAGGGAAGGGCCGTTCAAGGCCACAGGGGACCGTATCCAGGCAGCCCTCAGTTCGAGGTATTGGGGAGCGGGCTGGGTTGGGGAGCTGACGGTACCCCGTGCCTGTCCACCCGCAGACCTCCGTGCTGGTGGTGCAGTTCATTGAGGCCATCGTGGTGTTGGTACGGCAGACGTCACACATGCGGGTGACCCGGGCGCTGCGCTGCATCTTTCTGGTGGACTGTCGGTACTGCGGCGGTGTCCGGCGGTAAGGCCCGGGGAGGAGCTGCTCACACAGTCGCGCTTATGGCCTGGCCCGGCCCTCTGGGCCAGTGGAGCAGACCCAGTGAGTCAAGTGGTGAGCAGATCGGTCCTGCGCGTAGATCAGCTGTGGGCACTCATTTCCCTCTGCCGTGTGACCCACACAGAGGAAGCGGGTGCTCCTGCTGCAGCTCAGAGCTCCTGACTCCAGGTCTGGGGTTCTTTCCCGTCTCCCTGCAGCCTTCTGGGGCCGGCTGCTCTCTCTGAGCATGTTACCCGCCCAAACACAGCAGCAGGGGCAGCCTAAAGCAGGCGACTTGGCAGAGTCCGTGTGACTCAGCAGGGTGTGCTGGCACCTCCACCGAGACTGGTGACTTAACTCAAACCAGGCCGGGGGCCTGGAGTTAAACTTAGTTCTGAAGACTCCATCTGGAAAATCTCTTGGCTAGGGTACTTTGATGAGAATGGGCTGGCAGTTTATTCACCAGGCCCGTCCTTAAGGCTGGAAACAGGTGTCCCAGGACTAAGTGGCCCTGAACTGTCTTCTTGCATCCCACATCCCGCTTGTGGAAGCTGACTTTGCACCCAAGGCCCTGCCGTGGCCTTCTGCTCTTCCGTCTCTTCCTGGACACTCGCTTGCTTGGACTCTGTAAGAGGAAGAGAGGCTGTGTGTGTCCTACACCAGCCCCTGTTCTTACATGTCACCAACTGAGAGGAAGTCTGGGAAAACACTAAGGGTGACATCACACAGCAAAGTATAATGGCAGTTAGTGTTCTGTCAGTCAGGAGCACCAGGCTCCCATCTCCACAAGAGTGTACCCCACTGAGGAGCCCCACACAGACAAGAGATCCCCACTGAGGGGCCACACAGATGAGAGATACCCCCCTGAGGGCCCCGCAGACGAGAGACCCCCCTGAGGGCCCCGCAGACGAGAGATCCCCCTGAGGGCCCCGCAGACGAGAGACCCCCCTGAGGGCCCCGCAGACGAGAGATCCCCCCTGAGGGCCCCGCAGATGAGAGATCCCCCCTGAGGGCCCCCGCAGACGAGAGATCCCCCGAGGGCCCCGCAGACGAGAGATCCCCCTGAGGGCCCCGCAGACGAGAGACCCCCCTGAGGGCCCCGCAGACGAGAGACCCCCCTGAGGGCCCCGCAGACGAGAGACCCCCCTGAGGGCCCCGCCCCGCCGAGCCTCACCCCGCCCCGTCTGTCGCCCAGGAACCTGCGGCAGATCTTCCAGTCGCTGCCGCCCTTCGTGGACATCCTCCTGCTGCTGCTCTTCTTCATGATCATTTTCGCCATCCTTGGTGAGTTCCCTCGCCCAGGACCTGGCGGTCTCTAAAACCAAATTCAGAGTGGACGAAAGGTGCACTGGACAGTTTTAGAAGCTCGGAAAGGTTCTGCGAGTGACATAACCCCCACAGACTCCAGCTTAGGAAATGAAGCATCAGGAGTAAACTGGAAGGCGCCTCTGGACCCTTCCGTCGTCTCCATTCCCCCACCCTGGGCTCCCCGTCCTGAGCTGATCATTGCCGTGCAGGTCGTGGTCTTACTGTATACTCAGGTTTCCTTCAGCACCAAATAGACGGTATTGCTTTGCACGTTGAAAGTTCTGTATAGATGGTCCATAATGTGTGTGTCCCCTCCTGCAAGTCGCTCTTCTGCCCAACGCTGTGTTTTGAAGTGCATTCGCGCTGCTCCATGTAGATGAGTTCATTCATTGTCACTGGAGTATAGCGACCCGTTATGTGAGTACACCCAGATTTGTTCATCTGTTCTGTTGGTGGTTATTTTTCACTCACAAATCACACTGCAGTGAACGCGCGTGTTTCCTGAGAGTGTCTCCACAGCGTGTGCCTGGATGGGGTCTGCACGCTTCAGCTTCACTCAATAGAAAAGCAGGTCGTGGCCTTTCTGACCCTCAGGAGGCCTCGCCTCCTCAGACAAGGCCAAGTATCATGCGACACCCACGTCCAGACACGGGGCTCAGCCAGCGGCGATCCCGGGACATGGCTTGGAGGCCCGAGGCCCCTTCTCTCGTGCCGGGATGGCAAAGACAGTGGGAGCAGAGAGCCCTGGCTCTCAGGCCAGCTTGGGCCCTGGTGACTGCTCTGTATGAGCTGTTGGCTCCCACTCCCCCTACCCTCCCAACCCCACTCCATAGAATTTCTTTTGTGCTCCAAGGGGGCTGACTTCCCCTGAGGTTAGAGTGCCTCCCTTTTCCCACTCAGGATTCCAAGGACTCGGGGGAATAGCCCGTTCTGAGGGGGAGGAAATTCATGGTGCTCCCACCCCAGGACCCTTGGCTACAGGGGAATAGCAGGGTCCCTTTGGAATTGTTACTTGGCTGTCACGTTCTCAAAATCAGAGATTGCAAACTGGCAGTCTGGATGCCAAATCCAGCCTATGGGTGAGTTTCGTATGGTCTGGAAGTGTTGAGCCTGCATTTCAAAATTAGATTTTTACACAAAAATACAGATTTCCTGCCTTTTTTTTTTTTTTTGGTCAGGAAGATTGTCCCTGAGCTAACATCCATGCCAATCTTCCTCTTCTGTATATGTGGGATGTCTGCCGCCGCATAGCTTGACGAGTGGTGTGTAGCTCTGTACCTGAGATCAGAACCCGTGAATCCCGGGGCCACTGAAGCAGGGCACGTGAACTTAACCACTACCCCACCGGGCCGGCCCTCCCTTTTTAATAGTAGACTTGACAGTACTCAGGCCACATTCCCAAATGGCAGCGGTCGTCCAGGGCCCGTAGTACCCGCGCCCTCTGGCAGAGGTTCTCTGGAGTGCCGCAGTCCCCACCGCTCCCTGTTGCTCACCCTCGGCCCACTGCACTTAGTTACATGTATCGCCCGATCCTCTGACATCTGTGTTTGGGACCTCTGCTCTAACCTTCTTTCCAATCTGTTTTCCACCACCTAGGTTTCTACTTGTTCTCCCCTAATCCTTCAGATCCTGTGAGTAATCAGCATGTTTGTCTGTTTGTTCCTTGATGGGAGGCCTTTCCCCTCAGACAGGGTGGCTGGTCGGACCTCCTGGCCCTTAGGAAGGGATGCCCTGCCTGGGTTCTCGTCATAGCTATGGCATCTGAAAGTCCCCGGCACCCAGACTTGAGCTGTTTCCTTCCTCGAGTGCTAAGAGGATCTCCTTTCCTGTCCTTGAGAGGGATGTTTCCAGGGTCAGATCTGGAACATTGGAACTTTCGGGCAGAGGAGGGTGGGGAAGAGCCAGGCTAATAGTACAAACATGCGATTCTCTGGGGCGGGAGTCCCAGACTCAGTGTCTGCCTCCAGACTCCACGTTTGCTCCTTTGTCGCCATCCTGCAGGGCTCCTTGGGTGGAGGAGGGTGGTGGGAGGCGGAAGGGCCGGGTGCTCCGGGAGGCCCATCGCTGCCTGTTCCTGGCTGGTGCGCACCCTCGGAGTGGTGCCAGCGCGTTCCTCTGCCTCCCTTCCCGCGCAGTACTTCAGCACCCTGGAGAACAGCATCGTCAGTCTCTTCGTCCTTCTGACCACGGCCAAGTAAGTCCGGGCTCTGCTTGGGCTCCCGCCCTCTGCTAGTGCCCGGGGTCTCCTCTTTTCAGCTGCGAATGTTCCAGGTCTCAGTCCAGGCGGGTGCTTGGGGCACTGGAGGGGTGGGAGTGGCCTGGTGAGCTCGAAGCCTGTGGTCTGAGAGTGGGGGAAGGGGGCATGGGCCAGGAAGGCAGAAAAGAGGGGTGTCCTTTGAGAAGATGGAGACCAGCAGAGGCGGGCCTGCGGCTGACGCTCTGCAAATGCAGTTTCCCAGATGTGATGATGCCGTCCTACTCCCGGAACCCCTGGTCCTGTGTCTTCTTCATCGTGTACCTCTCCATCGAGCTGTACTTCATCATGAACCTGGTGAGTCGCGGGGCCTCGCGCTCCACTGGAGCAGCCTGTCCAGCCAGCACGGTGCTGGGCGCTGTGGGCATGGAGAAGAAGGGACTGCCGTCGGCCTCAGAGGGCCGAATGTGGGGGAAGGACGGTGCAGATTGTAGTCGAGTGTGTGGCGGGGGCCACCCTGTTGGGACTGAGGTCAGCTGGTTATCGCGGTAGCAGCCTCCCTGGGTTGGTACTGCTGAGAGTGCCCAAGTGTGAGCCAGGGCTGCCCTGCGACCTTCTCGTTCTCACGGCAGATGTGTATCATAACGATAAAAGCTGGCACTTATTAAGTCTTAGCACCATGCAGAGTGCTTTGTGTGAGAGGATTCAATGATGTAATGCAAGGCCCTGGAGGTGCTATTAGGATTCTCAATTTATAGATGAGGAAACTGAGGATCAGACTGACAGAGCGACTTGCCCATGGCTGCACAGCTCAGGGTGGCCTGGGGAGCGGCCTGATTCCAGAGCGCTGCTCTTAGCCTCTGCATCCCACTGCACCGCCTGCCAGGAATGTCTGGTGCATTCCCACCCCATTTATCATGAACCGTCAGAAAATGCAGTGCAGACACATTTGTTTAAGGAAGATATGCAGTCCCATGTCCACCGGGAGTTTTGGAGGTGTTCGAGGAGGCTTGGCTAGCACCAGGGACATTCCTGCCATCAGCAGATCACCTCCGAGACCAGGCCACGAGGCCGGTGCCCAGACCCCACGTCAGTGCCCCAATCATCAGGGAGAGGCTTGTATCAAGCCCGCCCTTTATTTTATACTTCCAAAGAGCAGTCTCCCACCCGTCACCAGTCAGGCCCGGGAGAGAAGAGGAAGACACTCTCTGGGATAGATTTGTAAATCTAAAGATCTGAAGTCTTAAAAAGGAAAAAAATTTTTTTTAATTCCTCAAAACCAAAAAAATGTGTTGGTGATCTGTTTATACATGTTACAATTCTTCTATGCTCTTGTTAGTTTAGAATCATAAAAATATATTATGTGTAATTTATTTGTTTGAATTCGTAATGTATTGAGAGCTGTGAAAATCTGCGGCGTGGGTCAGCAAACTGCAGCCCGCTGGCCAAAGCCAGCCCACCGCCTGTTCTTGTAAATAAAGTTTTATTGGCACACAGCCGTGCCCATTTGTTTATGTATCATCGGTGGCTGATTTCCTGCTACAACTGCAGGGTTGAATACTTTTGACAGAGACCATCTGGTCTTCAGAGCCTAAAATATTTGCTGTCTGGCTTTTTATAGAAAAAGTTTGCTGACCCTCCCTTGACCTAAAGGAAAAAAAAGTGGAGGACCAATCTGAAGGGGTAGAAAGGACAAGAGTTTCCCTTGAAATATTTTTGGAAGAAAAAGAAAGTGTTTCCATAAAGGCGTCTTTCAGATTCTGCTTCCACCTTCCCGTTGCCCTTTGATAATGCAGCCCGTGTTGTTAGGGTGCTAACTTGGGATCAGGCGGTTCCAGAATGTCATGCCCTCCAGGGCAGGCTTCTTTTTCCCTGTTCTGGGGGCCGGCTTGAAGCTAGGACTCCCCAGGAGGGAAGTGCCTGCACAATGCGTTCCTTCCTGCCCCGAGGCTGGAGAACAGCATGGACACACGGCCTCCCCAGCCATTACACTGAGCTGAACTGGGCGTGGAACCCTGCGTGTTCCTCTCGCTGCTTCCTTCTCCCCCCATAAAACTGCCCGCCAGGGACGAGCTGAGGGTGGAGAGAAGAACCCGGGGGAAATGTAGTGACAGCATCTTCTCGTATCTGAAGAGAGGAATTGACCAGTGGCAGTGAATGCCCGCCTCTGCTGAGAAGGAGGCAAACTTCTGCCCCGCGAGGGGCGGTGGGAGGGTCTCCTGCAGCCCCACTTCTCTGGAGGCAGAGAATGACCTCCCCGACCCGCTGAGGCCCCACCACGCAGGGAAGCCAGGTCTCTGTGCTTTTCCCTCACAGCTTCTGGCCGTGGTGTTCGACACCTTCAATGACATCGAGAAACGCAAGTTCAAGTCTTTGCTGCTGCATAAGCGGACCGCTATCCAGCATGCCTACCGCCTGCTCGTCAGCCAGCGGGTAGGGAGGAGGGGGCTGGGCCGGGAGGGCTTGGTCCTGCTCTCCCTCCCTCGCCCCAAGCAGCCCCTAAGCATGGCAGGGCCAGCAGCTTCAGAAACTAGAAGTCCTGCCCTTGGGAGAGCAAGAAAGCACAGGGCGCCCTGGGATCCTGTGTGTGCTGCGCGGCCGCAGTGGCTGCCCCTGAGAGGAGAGTGGTCTGGGCTCTATGTGTCCCTGTGTTTCACGTGGGAATACACCTTCCCTCTCCCGCAGAAGCCCGCCGGCATCTCCTACAGGCAGTTTGAAGGCCTGATGCGTTTCTACAAGCCCCGGATGAGTGCCGGGGAGCGCTATCTCACTTTCAAGGCGCTGAATCAGAGCAACACACCTCTGCTCAGGTGAGGGGGGACGCCAAGCGGCCGGTGCGGTGGGACAGGCATTCACAGAGGCACCGGCAGGGGGTGGGCAGAGGCTCGTTGGGGACTTTAGTTCTTCACAGAGAGTCTTACACACGTAAACCATATTCGGGAGGGTTCTTTTTGCCACTGACAAAAATCCAACCCAAATCCAGTTGAAGCTGGCTTGACAAAAAAGGGAATGGCTCCTGAGATGGACTGGCCAGCTGTCTACCCTCGAGCCCTGCGTGAGGTGGGGCAGTCCCATGCGAGCACATCCACAGAGGGGGCGAACACACACAGACACACGCACCCCCCCAGCCCCCACCCCCCGCACAGCCTTGAAGAACTGGCCCTGAGCCCTCCGTGGGCCGCATTGGTCTTTTAGACTGCTGATGACCCAAACTCTTCTTTTTGGCTCAGAAAGAAGGAGGCCATCTGCAGAGACGAGAGCGAGCTCCTTCTGGGCTGAGCTGGCAGTCCCAGTTTTTTCGTTAAGTCCTGTGCTGAAGGAGGCTCGGACCCTGTCTGTCCAAGAATTACAGTAATCCAGGAGATTGAAGCTGTCCCTAGTCAGTGTAGACTGAGTGGATTAAGTCTTCATAGCCCCTGGAGGAAGGAGAGGAAAGGTCTGCAGGTACGGGTCCCCTGGGCACTGATGTGCTGGGGCTCCCGGATGTCCCCTCCTCCCACCCCCCTTAAAGTGACCGCAGGCAGGTGAGTGACAGACCTGAGGCTCAGTGGGAACTGTTCTGATTTTTTTGCCTTTTCATGTTGCCTATGACAGCCTCAAGGACTTTTATGATATCTACGAAGTCGCTGCCTTGAAGTGGAAGGTGAGAGCTCCTGTGAGACTGGAGAGGGAGTGGGCAGACGGTTCCATGGGGGGACAAGGCCGAGAGGTGCCTGGAGGTCCAGCTCCTTCCTGCTCGAAGAGCTCAGCTCTCGGCCTGGCGCTGGCACTGCAGGGATGACAGGTGGCCCCCGGCCCCCTCAGTTGGCCTTACATTTGCCATGCAGTGTCCTGGTTAAGAGCATCAAATCTCAGACCCCATTAGTCGCCGTGTGACATCAGGCTTGTCTCACCTGGGCAGTGGGACAGTGGGAAGCCCCACCTACAGAGTTATGTTCAGGATTGTATAATCATAACGCGTGTGCATGGCCAGTTCACTGCTCATAAACCTTGGCTGTCTTCGTTGTTATTTAGATCCCTGAGTGTTTTCCTTGCTCCCCAAGTTAGCTGGGCCGGCAGGGAAGGAAAGCGGCATCCTGGTCCCTCAGGCTAGGTTCTGGTCACTGGTCCTAACGCCCCCTCTCCCATGGCCCTGTTTCCTGGCCAGGCCAAGAGCAACAGAGAGCACTGGTTCGATGCGCTCCCTAGGACGGCCTTCCTCATCTTCAAAGGTAAGCTCGCCTTGGCTGTGGCGTCTGGGCAGCTGGGCACAGCTGGAGCTTTCCAGAGAGCACAGACGGCATTGGAAGAATGCTCGGGGGGGCGGTGTGTGTGTGCGTGCATATGTGTGTCTGAATGTCTGTGTGTATAAAAGGGACAGAGAGAGTGTGGTTACCCCAGCAGGGAAATCGGTAGCTTAAAACCCAAACCAAGACATTTGTGGAATAGATACTCATTGAAGGAAATTGACAAAGTGGGATAGTTAGAAGGAATGAAGACTTCCCACACAGAGGTAACCACTGTTAATTCTCTGACGTGCTCCCTTCTGTTGTTGGTTATTGTTGTGTGCATTTTTAAAAGAGTGCTGGGATTGCATTAAATACTCTATTCTCAAACCTGCCTTTTTATCAGGTGACGTGTTCTGACCGTCCTCCTGCGGCAGGAGAGGATGTAGTATGGTTTCCTACATAGTATAAGATTCAAAAGTTTAAAATCAAACTGCCCATGTTATTTACCTAGTCGTTGCCCTGTAATTTAATGCCAGTTTTGAAGTTCCGCATGGGGGTAGGTTAGCTCCCAGGGAAGTTCCCGTGCAACAGCTGAAGCCCGGGTCTGGGCTGTTAGGAACGAGAGTGAAGTGTCTCATGACTTCAACCACAGCTAGGGCTTCGGGCACGGCTGTTATCCCATGTTCTTTCGAGGGTTTTCCATTGCACTGGATGATAGTTACTCAAGCGGCTGAATACGTAGCCTGGGCCGGGCCAGCAGCAAGCGAGTTTCAGCAGTGGCCAGCCCGGCTTTGCTCTGCTCCGTCCGGGCTCCCCTGGAGCAGCTGTTGTCAGTGCAGTCTGGTCCGGGGGTCCGAGCCCAAGCGTGCTGTCACCCTTAGAGCGGGCCCTTCCTTTCCGCCCCCGGCATAACTACCGTGTTGCTCACGTGCACGAAGTGTGTCGTGGAGAATGTGTACTAGCACATGAAAATATCCATGTTAACATTTCTTCTCTTCAAATAGGAATTAATATCGTTGTGAAGTCCAAGGCCTTCCAGTATTTCATGTGTAAGTGAAACATCACAGCTCTAGGCCCCTTTCCTCCCGTGTCTTTTACGTTCCAGAGGGTGGAGAGGCGATTGCGAGAGTGGTCCTGCAGCCGTGTGGTTGCTTACGGAAAATGCCCAGCATGCCTAAGAGTGAGAGGTTATAATGAGCATCCGCGTACCCACCACCCGGCTTCGACAGTCACCCTCTCACGCCAGTCTTTCTTGTCCGTCTGTACTCTCACTTGGCTCCTTGTTCCCTCTCTAGACCTGGAGTTTTGGAAGCAAATTCCAGAACCACAGAGAGGGATTGGTTGCTATGTCACCTAAGTCAGTTTTAATCTAGAAGCTTCTCTTCCATCCCTTTCCTCTCTCTTGCAATATTTAGTTGAAGAAATAGGATTGTTTGTCCTGTAGTCTTGTTTTTGCATGTTCCTCTGTGGCTTATTTCCTATAATTTGGTATATATAGTTGGCTCATATCCGGTATATATACTTGATATATTTGATATTTATCTAATTTTTTATATCTAGAGCTGTGTCATCCAATGTGGTAGCCACTAGCCACAAGCGGCTATTTAAATTTAAGCTAACTAAAATTAAAAATTCAGTTCCTCAGTCGCAATAGCCACATTTCAAGTGCTCGATAACCACATACGGCTGATGTCTTGGACAGCACAGATGAGATTTCCGTGGTCCTGGAAAGTTCTCTTGGACGGTACTAATCTAGAGGCTTGACTGGATTCAGTCTTTCTAGGAAGCTCTGGTTCCATTTAATGAGAAATGGTGTTTAGAGACCACAATCTAAGATGCTAGAGCTGCTCATTGCTTGCAGTTGGTTATTGTTTCTAGGTCTTTCCATGGACAAAGGTAGGGTTTTGATTTTTTGAAGATGAACTGTGTTGTAAGTTTATTCTGATATTTCTAATTCAAGTTCAGGACTATAGGGTTTTCACCTAACTTCGTCATTCTTTCATATCTAGATTTCCGTCTTAAAATCCTGGTTCCCAACAACACTAACACAAATTACTCATTTGCTTTATCCCACAGTACACACACAATAGACTCTGAGAAACAATATCAACAACCCCAACAACGTGATTCTAGAAACCCCGCTCCAGGATGGACATTCAGATGACTGTGTGTTAAGGTCGCCTGGGCTAGTTCTCTGGGCAGCAGTGTCCCCATCTGGATACACATTTAGGTTTCTTTATTTCATGTTATTTTTTATTTTTAGGGGTTACTTTTTATATTTAATTTTGTTGTGTAATTATATAAAATATTTATATGGTTCTAAGTCAGATCTACAAAACAAAGTATATTCAAGGACATTTCGTTTATATCCTGACACCTCCCACAATGGGTAACTTTTATCATGGTTTATCCTTCCATTTTTTAAAAACTATAAGTAGATGCATATATATGCGTATCCCCCTGTCTTAAATAAACGATAGCAGACTTTACACACGTTTTTCCCACCTTGCTTTTGCCAGTTAACAGTATATCCTGGAGACCAGTCCATATTGCTAGAGGGAGATGTTGCTTGTTTCTTCTTATAGTTGACAGCACACCATTTTGTGAACGTATCATAGTTCACTCAGCGAGTCCCCTATCGATCGTTTAGGTTATTCCTAGCTTTTTGCTATCACACATAGTTCTTTAGTGAATAACTTTCAGTTTGCCTTGTTTTGTGTTTTTGCGAGTGTCTCTTGGGGATGGATCCCCAGAAGTGGGATTGCTGAGTGAGCGGCCAAACCCATATGCAGATTTTGCTAACTAGTTCATGCAATTGTTTTAAAATCAGACCTCTCTAGGGGAAAATCAAACATTTTCAATCCTTAAACCCTGGGTATATTGTCCATCTTTTACACTGACTTGGAATAATTTGTAGGTTTTACTGACCCGTCTTAGCTGGTCTCCCTACAGCGACACAGAGGGTGTGTTTTTAAAAATCCGTAGCTGTTTTCTAGGTGAAACCAGGGGTTGATTTAGCTCATGGTCAGGCACTAAGCAAAGAGGGGTCATGGCATGTGGAGCCGCCCTGCCCTCTGAATCTCCCAGAGCGGGACGTTAGCCAGGGGCTGCCGCTGTGGCCTGCAGACGTCCTTGCCCGCCTGTGCCTTCCTTGCCTGTTAACGGGCCTGTCTGTTGCAGACTTGGTGGTGGCAGTCAACGGGGTCTGGATCCTCGTGGAGACCTTCATGTTGAAAGGTGAGCCCCGGCTGGGGCCTGGCCCGTCCTGAGGGCACGCCTGGCCCGCCTCTTGAGCCGCTGCCCCTCTGTCTTGCAGGCGGGAACTTCTTCTCCAAGCACGTGCCCTGGAGTTACGTCGTCTTTCTGACTAGTAAGTCTCTGCCATGCCTTTGCCGAACGGCTCGTCTGAAACACCGGCTGGGGGGGCTTTCCCTTGGTTTAGGATCTCGTAGCTCTTCTCTAAAACAGGGAAGCTTGACGAGAATGGAACAGAAATTGAGTCTGATTCCATCCCGCCCCTATTTAAAAGCCTTCCATGGTTCTCCACTGCCCTCCGGATCAGGTCCCCATCCTGGGCATGACTCCCACTGCCTGCCGCAGGGGCTCCCTGGCTTCCTCTTCGACCTCATCTCTTTCCAGTACCACCGCCCTCCCCCACGCTGCAGCCCTCACGAACAGTGTCCTTCTCCCAGTGCCCTGGGCCCTTTCTTACCCCTGGGCCTTTGCACAGCTGGCTTCCTCTGCCTGATGCCCTCGTCCCCTTGCCAGACCACTCTGCCTGACATTTGTCCTCTTTTACGTCTAAACATCCCTGAGCACCCTGCCTCTTCATTGCCCCGTCAGTCTTTCCTCCTGTCTGGACTCTGAACTCCATGTGAGGGGCGCTGCACTGTGCTGTTCACTGTTGCACACCCAGCGCGGTGCAATGCCCGGCCCAGAAGAGCTGTGGGAAATGCCTGCTGATGGACACACGGCTGGGCCATCCCCAAGATGGGGAGGGTGCTTCTCTGCTTATGCACAGTGCCACAGTTGACCAGCGCTGGGCTGGGCCCTCTCCTGGAGCCTGCACTCTCGTGGTGTGGTGTGGGTGTGACGTGGGTGTGCAGCCTGCGGGGGGGCTGGACACCTCAGAGCAGCCTCTCAGTGAGGAAACGGAGCCGGACCAGGGTGGGAGCGGCTGCGGGAGGGCCCACTGCTAACCGCTGCCCCCGTCCACAGTCTACGCCGTGGAGCTGTTCCTGAAAGTGGCTGGCCTGGGCCCCGTCGAGTACCTCTCCTCCGGATGGAATCTGTAAGTGGGAGCATGTTCTAAACCAGGTCAGAGAGTAAGAGCCTGGGCCTCTCCCTGCGTACCTGCAGCACGCACGCCATGTCTGCGCCGGCAGGAGGAAGGGCCGAGGAATGTCGGGGCTTCTGTCCTGTGGCTCGGGGGCTCCCCAGGCTCCGGCTCTTGTCCTTCTCTCTCAGGCTGCCCACGCTAGGCCCTCCTGGATGTGGCCACTTGAGGGTCCTCAGGCTGGCTGGCTCTTTCTGAGTCATGTAACCCCACACCTTCCCTGACAACTAAGCTCTTTTCTCCATAAAAACCATGACGCCCACAGAGAAGGAAGTCACACCACGTCTTTGGTCAGCCTCGAGCTGGTGGCCCTTCTCCCAGTCCCCCTGAGACCTCAAGAGGTCACTGACGCCTCGTTAGGTCACTCACGTGAAGTCAGGGGGCACTCACGAGACCTTGGTTAAGGAGTGGAGAAGAGTCGGGCAGAACCGCAGAGCATGTACCAACACTGTGTTCAGGGTCGTGGTGGTATCCCTGGAGGGGGGACCCTGTCTGGGGCAGGCCCGCTGGTCTCCAGGCGGCCTCCCACTGCCCGGCCTGCCCCTCCCTCGGTTACCCCGTCAGGGTCGGTGTCACTGGGATAACCAGGCGTCTGTTGTTAGACCAATGCGGGACTTTCAGGAGGGTTTCCGGGTGTTTCTGCCCCGAGGGTCAGAGCCTCGAGGCCCAACCCTGAGATGTGCTGGGCCTGGGGGCCCCACCAGGCCAACCTCAGAAACCCTAAGGCGCCAGGAAGCTGCTTCCCGACGTGGCCACCGTGGGCCACCGCAGGCACACTGTGCCTCTATTGTGGTTGGCATGTGGCTGCTTGCAAGGAGCGTGGAACAGGGTTGGGGAACGGGCTTGTCGTGGGGAGGCCCGGGGCTGGGCCGGACGCACCCAGCGCCTCCTCTCCCTGCTAGGTTCGACTTCTCCGTCACGGCGCTCGCCTTCCTGGGACTGCTGGCTCTGGCCTTCAACATGGAGCCCTTTTACTTCATAGTGGTCCTGCGGCCCCTGCAGCTGCTGAGGTGACCAGGCAGGGGGAGGGCTGGTCTGGGAAGTGGCTGGAATGAGCCAGAGACTCCCAAGCCTGGGGTCAGAGGTGCACGCCCCCTGCAGAGGCACCTGGGCGGCCACTGTCTCCCCTGTGGGGACGTGCAGACTGCCTGCCGCCTCCTGCCACTGGGGCCAATCGCCTCGACTGTGGAAGAGAAACGAGGCTCATGGCTCAGGGGAGCTGGGCCTGCGGTGCTGTCAGCTCAGCCACAGGATCACACGTGCCCAGAGTCCTAAACCAGAGAGCCGCAGCCTCTGAGGGTCCAAAGGGGCTTTTGAGAAAAAAAAAGCCCCGTGCTTTTCTGGCACAGCCCCTTGTCAAGAAAATCCCTCGCGTGGTCTCCCTTTTTCCCAGGGGCCGTTGTAGGAAACCAGTAGTGCGCTGCTCTGGGGGCAGTGTCCCTTCCTCCTTGGGGTCTTGAGCTCTTGTGTCTTCAGAAGCCTGCTTTTCCTCTTGAACATCCCGCTGGCATCCCATACATGTCCACCATCCTGCCCCGTCCTTCCTGGGAGGAGAGGTGGGGCTGTGGGCCGGGGCCCGGGGGTGGCCATGCACCGGTGGTGGTGGCCGGGCCAGCAGATGTCAGCATCCCTCCCACACACCACTGGCTCCTCTGTGGGCGTGGGTGTTCCCGTTGTCCTGGGGTTTGAGCACTGTCCTAGGCGAGGCCTTGTCCCTCTCTGAGCCTCCTGGCTTCATTTGTCCACTGTGGTGAATAGCCGCTGACACCCCCTCACCCGGGGAGGAGACTGAGGAGCCCCGGGGTGGCTCTGCGTCCCTTGAGGGCGGGGCCCTTCCAGCCCCGATGTCCTGGTGCCACGACCGTCCCCTCCCAGGTGTCGGGCTGGCGGCTCTGAGGGAAGTGGGCGCCCAGGTGGGTGCGGGACCCGGGCCTGCCGTCTCCCCTGGTGCTGTGGAAGGCGGGGCCGCGGCCGTGCGCTGCCGTGTGGTGACCCGGCCTCCTCCCTCGCTCAGGCTGTTTAAGTTGAAGAAGCGCTACCGCAACGTGCTGGACACCATGTTCGAGCTGCTGCCCCGGATGGCCAGGTACCGCCCGCCTCGCGGCCCCAGGGCCAGGCCTCGTGAGCTTGTGCCCCTTGGGGCAGGCAGCTGGGTGGTAGCGGGGGGAGAGGAGGAGTCCCAAAAAGGACTGACATCGAGGGGCTGGCGGGTCTCGAGGAGACTGAAACCTGGACCACCACAGGTGTCCCTGGCACTTTCCTCCACTGACCTGTGTGACATATGTAGTTGGGAGGGCAGGGAGCTGTCAACTCACTTACCACCTGTGTCTACATTCACAGGTAAGGGGTCACCTGTGAGTCTACCTTCACAGGTAAGGGGTGAATCTCTGGTGAAGGGGCATCTGTGCCTAGAGTCCCGATTCGAGCCGTTTTGACCCCAGACCCGAATCACGAGGCCCCTCCCCTGCAGACTCTTTGCAGTGGTGAACCTGGCTAGGGGCATGCCTCTCCCCAGTCAGCCCAGGGGGCCTGAGGACGCCGGGGCTGCCGCAGGAGCCGGTGCCTGCCGCGCCCTGAGTCACCCGTCCCTTCCGACCCTCCTCCCCAGCCTGGGCCTCACCCTGCTCATCTTCTACTACTCGTTCGCCATCGTGGGCATGGAGTTCTTCTGTGGGATCCTCTACCCCAACTGCTGCAAGTGAGTGTGCCGCGGGGCCCCGCCCTGCCCGGGCCTGGCAGCCAAGATGGCACACCGACCCCCCCCGGGTGGGTCCCCTGGGCCTCGGGTCCTCAGGGCCGAGCCCCTTCAAGCCCTGGGACTCACTTTGCCTTGCTTTCAGGGCTTCGTTCAGTGCCGTAGCTAGGGAGGGGCCTGGAACCACAGGGTGGTCCCAGGTGAGGACGCCTGAGCCGGTTTCCTCGTCCCGTAAGCAGGCCTGGGAGCCGCACTCCAGCCAGGCCTCCATCAGCTGCACAGCCAGGCCCTTTGGGCTGAGGGCCGAAGGCCGCTCCAGAGCCAGGAGTAGCCTGGGGCCCGAGGCCTGAGTGCCCAGCTTCCTCCCTCTTCTCTCTGGAGGTGGCTGGGGGCCAGGGCAGACATGCGTCCCTAGTGACAGCCCGTAGGATAAGACAGATGGACGCTCATGGGGAGGTGTCGGGGGCAGGGACAGAGAGTGGGGCACAACCTCCCATGACCTCTCCTTTCCCTTCTCCTGCCTTCTCCTGAGCCACCACGATAAAATCACAGTGCTGCCTTTAAAATGTGCCCATGTGGCCTGAGGCACCGATAAAGACAGTTTCCAAGGACACTGGAAGCCATTCGGAGTGTCAGGCTGAGCTCAGAACCAGAAGCCTGTAGCAGTGGGGCACAAGCTTAAGAGTGCAGCAAAATTGTCACGGGAGCCGCAGGGGCCCGGGGCTCTGCCTTCTGAAGAAGCTCCCCGGGGGCCCAAGGACCTGATGTGCAGAAGTGTCCGCGTAGATACAGCAGATCAGCCATAGAGGGTCGGAAGGAAGGCAGCCAATAAGCTCTCAGAACAGGGCGGCCTGTTGGCACACGCAGGCCGAGTGCTGGAGCACGCCTGGCCGGGAGCTTCCCCTCGCCATGCTGCTGCCAAGGACCCGGCCTCAAGCCGGTCCTAGACTGGGAGGTCCAGACGAGGCTCTGCCTCTCTCCCCGCCCAGCGGCGTCTCTCTCGGGTAGCTGGGCAGCAGAGAAATGCCAAGTGGAGGCAGATAAGGGGGGCAAGTCTGGGGTTCCCACCAGCACCCAGCAGGCGAGGGAGCCAAGGGCTCCCTGCGAGCCGGGAACTTGGGCGAGAGCTGCGGGGCTGGGCAGGACACCCGGCTGGGCCAGGACAGATGCTCCAGGTCGGACCTTGGTTTGCTTAAATGTTTTGTCCCCTGTCGAGGTGAGCAATTGTCCTGTGACCTTGCCTTCTGCCCTGTGTCTCCCCGGCCAGTACGAGTACGGTGGCAGACGCCTACCGCTGGCTCAGTCACACCGAGGGCAACAGCACCGCCGTGGAAGAGGGTTACTACTATCTCAACAACTTTGACAACATCCTCAACAGCTTTGGTGAGCGCAGAGGCCACGGGCGGGACCTCCCTGGCCTGCTGCCCCTGTCACCGCAGGGCCCAGATGTGCTGCAGCAGGGCTGTCTGAGGCCTCCCCTCCAGAGCTGCTGGCCTCACTTTCTCGAGTCTTCTCTGGCCCGGAGGGAGGGTGTGGTTGCCCAGCCTCGTGGGTGCAGGCCAGGCCGGATCCCAGGGCTCTCTCAGCCACTGAGTTTTCCTCCTTTTTCTGATACTTTTTCAGTGTCAGGGAGCACAAGAGCTTTGTGCTTTCCTCGGGGAGGGCATGCGGCCCAATGCTGGGGAGCTGCCCCTCTTGTCACAACCCCACAGTTGCAGGGTGGGGCCCAGCCACACCAGCCTGCCACAGTGCCCTGCACCGCCCCTCGCTTGCGCCCACACAGCTCTGCTCCCGGGTTCCAGGGAGGGGCTGGGGGAGAAGTAGCCCTGCCAGGCAGCATCTCAAGAGGAAGGGGAGCCCCACGTGGCACCCCAGATCTACAGCGAGAAGGTCTGGGTGCTCCTTCCCCAGCACCCATCCCAGCCCTGGTCCGTCACGGGCTGCTGAGGCAAAGGGCGTGCCCTTTTGAAGACAGCCAAGATGTCACACTCCCTGTGGGGCAGGCACTCAGGGAGGGCCTTGGCTGGTCTGTCTAGCCCAAGCTAGCAAATGAGGACACCACCATTTAGGTGCATGGTACCCAGGATGGGTGGAGAGAGGCCACTTGAAACTGACTCTGAAAAAGTGGGTCTGATCAAGGTGCTCTCTTTCTTCATTCCCTTTGGCAGTGACCTTGTTCGAGCTCACAGTTGTCAACAACTGGTACATCATCATGGTAAGGACCTCGGTCAGCTCCTGGGGGCAGCTCCCCACCATCCTCTGCCGCCAGCTCTGCATCTCCCCGCGCCTGGTGTGGGATGTGCTGCCCTTCCCGTTGCCTGTAGGGGGTGGGGTCCTCGGGCCTGGGCCGGCGCTCTGTAGGGAGCCCACAGTATGGGCTGGGCCCCGGGATCTGCCACCTTCGCACTTGCTGGACTTGGCTTTTGTGCCTGCACCCCCGCACATGCCCCAGCAGCAGGAGGTGCCACTTAGCCTCCGAGCCTCTGTCCTCCTCCCACACTGGGGGAGAGACTTTTCAGTCAAGAAACAGCATGGCAAGAGTTATTGGTTTGTTGCTGGTTTTTTCCCCCCCATTCCTTAAACTCTTCCAAGTGCCACCCCCATGTGGGACAAAGACCGTCCGTGTTAGTCCAGAGCCCCACTGCCCTGGGGAGTGTCCAGGCCTTGAGTAGCACAGAGGAACTTTTAGGCCCAGAGGAACGAGGTCGCCTTCCTTTGCCTCCCACAACCAAAGGCAGCTGAGGAAGGGACTGTGAAGAGGCACTGGCAGCCTGAGTGGACAGTGACCTGTCCCCACCCGGCCCTCACTGGGCAGCCTGAGTGGACAGTGACCTGCCCCCACCCGGCCCTCACTGGGCAGCCTGAGTGGACAGTGACCTGCCCCCACCCGGCCCTCACTGGGCAGCCTGGGTGGACAGTGACCTGCCCCCACCCGGCCCTCACTGGGCAGCCTGGGTGGACAGTGACCTGCCCCCACCCGGCCCTCACTCACGGCTGCTTCCCTCTGCCTCCAGGAAGGCGTCACCTCTCAGACCTCCCACTGGAGCCGCCTCTACTTCATGACCTTTTACATTGTGACCATGGTAGGTCCTTCATTGTCAAAGTCTCCAGCTCACTGGGCTGCAACTCCGGGAGGGGGGCCCGGGGACGCATCTGCCCGGGCTCCGTTAGGTGTGGGGCCCTGCAGCAGCTCACTGCTCTCTCTCCCTCCATCTCTCTGTCCGGCCAGGTGGTGATGACTATCATCGTCGCCTTCATCCTCGAGGCCTTCGTCTTCAGAATGAACTACAGCCGCAAGAACCAGGACTCGGAAGGTCTGTGCCAGGAGCTGGTGCAGGAGCATGGCTGCCTGCGGCCCCTCTGGCTGGCTGTCCAGTTCAGCTGTCTAGTTGTCCAACCTTCTGGCAATCCAGCTTCTCTCTCTGGCTTGTCTTTCTAGATCTCTCATTTGTATTAATTTTCAAATATTTAGTGACCAAAAAATGCTCTTGATCTCATTTTTAAAGTAAAAACAATACATGTCAGAGATTAAGAAAAATCACAAAGCAGAGACACGCTGTTGTGGACACAGCAGCTCTCTGTCCCACGTGTCCCGTCTCCCAGAGACTTGTCACTCAGCTGTTTCTCCTTTCAGTGATCATAGCCAGGTTTCTGAATCACAGGCTCGTACGGTGCAGGTTTAGATGGTGTGAATGTCATGGACTGCACAGCCAGTGGCACTTCCTTCTGCAGCTTGATGATCCCAGCGTTAATAATCACCTCGCCTTTTCCGGATTGCATAGCTTTCCAGATTCTCCATCAGAACTGCCTCATACCTGTTATTCCTTGTTTCCAAATCTCTATCGTATCAGGCTCTCTGGCCATTTTCTTTTTGCTCAGAGACTCTCTCCTGAGCCCCTCTGTCCCCCATAAGCTGCGGGCCTGACCAGCCTCCTGGCATCCACAGCGAAGCGAGGGAAGGGACGCGAGTTCCAGATGGCAGGAGGTGGGGGCGTGTGTGCTGATGCAGAGTTTTGCTCAAAGAGGGAACCTTAGGACCCCCAGGGGGAGCAGGGAAGATGGCTAAACCAGAACAGGCCAGACGGGGGCCTCCAAGCCCCGGCCTCTTCCCAGCCCTGCCCTTCTCTCCGCAGTGGACGGCGGCATCACCCTTGAGAAGGAAATCTCCCGAGACGAGCTGGTTGCTGTCCTGGAGCTCTACCGGGAGGCGCGGGCAGCCACCTCGGACATCACCCGGCTGCTCAAGATCCTCTCCCAGATAGAGCGGCACGAGGTGAGGAGCTGCAGGGCCCGGCCGGGGGAGGGCGGGTTGTAGCTGAGTGTAGTCCCTCCCCCACCGTCCATCCCCTCGAGTTGGGGTGGCACCCTTGAATGACACCATTGAAAAAGCCAGAGGAGCAGGTGAGGCCTGCTGAGGCCGGGCACCAGGGCCCTGGCACGGGCAGGTCCCTGCAGCCTCTGCTCTTCTTTAGCAAAATGCTGTGGTGTTTCTGGGACGGAGATCAAGGACCAAAAGCGATCTGAGCCTGAAGATGTACCAAGAGGAGATTAAGGTAGGAGCGCCCCGAGCTCGCTGCCCCGCTCCTGCCTGGGCGAGGGGGTTGGGTGGGCTCTGTGGGGAGATCTTGGATCATGGGCTGGGACCACATCCAGTGGAGTCTGGGACTCAGGCTTGGGAGTGGGGCCCTCAGGGCTCCGCCTCGAACCCTTGCTGGTTCCCCTGCGTAGGCCGCTCTCCCGTCTGGTCTTGCATATGTGTCACTGCCACTCATGCGTCCTCCAGAACCTCACCTTGGTTTCTTGATCTGAGCCGGAGCTGCAAATGAAATGTGTCTCACAGGAGACCCCCCAGGCAGAGGGGGCATGGGGGCCACGGCGAGCTGACTGGGGCGGGCCTCTCGGAGAGCACGGCCTCTCCCTGGTCCAGCCGGGTGCAGGAAGACGTTCCGCTGCGCCAGCTGTCTTGGGATTTTCGACTTTGCTTTTTGCTTCTAATTTAAGAGAAAGAAGTCAAATCTTTTTTTTTTTTTACAAAATCTCCCGATCTTTCCACATTGGTAACTAAGTAAACTATCTTGCAAAGCACCATGAGGGCTGGCACTCTGCCTTCCAGACGGAGCCCACGGACCACGGGCCCCAGGGTGTGAGCCCTGCTTTGGGGGTGTCCTTCCACCGCGGGGCCCAGGGCTTGGGGCAGCTCTCCCTTGCCAGCCGCCGTGACTGCGCAGTTTTCTTGCATTTGAGCAGCTGGAAACCCTCTGTTTCACTGGGACAGTGATGACCAGTGTCCACGCCCACAGGGCTGGGAGGCGGCAGTACCCTGAAGTGACTCACACATTCTCTGTGAAAACACATGGCCTTGTAGCCGGGGTTCTTCGGGCAGATACACAGTGGCTCACTGAACAGTGTCACAGAGCCGTGGGGTTAACAGGAACTTGGGCGTCGTAAAACCTGGCTCTGTGACCTTGGGCGAGTCCCTCAGCTGGTTCGCAGCCTCTGCCCATCCGTCCCCTCCTGGCCTCAGCTTCCCGCTCTGTGAAGTGTTGGGGCACAGAACGAGGCCGGCTCAGTATTTTTCAAGCTCTAAAGTTCTGTGATTCAGACTCTTTTGAAACATAGGGTATATTTTTTTTAATTCCTTAATTACATGAATACCCTTGTCCCTGAAAAGGTCGGGTGATATAACTATAATGGTCTTAGGCAAGTGAGCTGTGCAGTTTTTTTCAAAGTGCTTTCACAGCCTTATTGGAGGGCAGCAAAAGCAACGTGGGAGTTCCAAGAGGCTTCATCCAGCTTTATATAGCCTCTGAGCCTCGGTTTTCTCTGCTGCGAAATGGGGAACTGATTCCTGCAACATCAAAAGGGATGGCATGGGGGTGGGGGAGAGAACCCCTTGTGAACGACAAAAGGTGAGGTTCACAAGGAAGAGATGATTATTGCTACTCGTGTGTGCCAAGCACCCTGGACAAGGGGGTTTGCAAACCTCTAGTTAATGAGGGAAAGGTGTCACTGGAACTTTTCTATTTGGGGCCGTATTCAGAATTCCCAGCAGGTTGGGGCGTGAGGGGACCTGTCAGTCCCAGCTGGGTGGGGCTGGCAGCCCTGCCTTCTCCACCCCTCACCGCCGGCAGGCAGAGGCTGGAGGTCACAGCACTGCCTGGCCTGGTGACCTCGTCAGGCTCCGGGAGGCGTGGCCCGCTCAGCAGCCCCTCTGTTCTCTGCTCCAGGAGTGGTACGAGGAGCACGCCCGGAAGCAGGAGGAACAGCAGCCACAGCTGAGCGGCAGCGGCGGCCCCGCCACCCAGCAGCCCCCAGGCAGCCGCCTGCGCTCCCAGACGATCACCTAACCTGCGCTCGCGAAAGCCATCTCTTCTATGCAATAACACAATAGTATTATTTTACTACGATGTATCGAAATAACGTGTGTGTATATATATATACACGTTCATATATATGCACATATTTATACAGAGAAAAAGGAAGAGACAGACAGACGATGGGGTTTGGTTGTAACCACCTTGCCCTGTCTTCCTTAACCCCAGAAGTCAGCTTGGTTTGGGGGGGTCAGGCCAGTAGGAGTCTTCCTGACACGGGAAGTTCCAGAAGGCCCCTCCACAGGAAGACCACTTGAATAGATTCCGCCCCTCTCTGCAGGGCCAGCCTTGAAGCGGCCAGCCCTCCCTGGGCCAGATCCGCACCGTCTTGCCTGTGCCGCTTTCAGACCTGCGTCCCAGCTGACGGCTCCCCTGTGAGCGCTCCCTGCGGCCCGGGCCATGGGGTCTCCGTGTCTTGCTTTAGGGACAAAACCACTTAGGAAGGAAAGAAGCCCCTTCCTGGGGGCAGTATTTATATGCATATGATAGCGCACTAGAACATCTCCTCAGGGAGCCAGAGCCTAGGCCTGATCGGAGGAGTGACCAAGGGGTGCGATTATCCCGTGTGGTCAGATCTCAGCGAGCCCGCACTGGGCAGCGAGATTGCGCTGACAGCTTCGTGTCCCGCCCTGCCAGCCTTCGCTCCCTCACTTTGGTTTCAGCCCTCATGGCTGACGATCTTCTGAAATGGCCTCCTTTGGAATTGGGGCCAGGCGGGAGGCACACAGGCGAGAGGCTGGCCGATGGCTGCCACCCAGACCACATCCTGGAATGGGCTTTCTCCACTAATCCCTTTTCCTTGGGTCATCCTGCTCACACAAAAAGACGATTTGGTCAATTTGGGATTCTGCTAAAGACAAAGCAGGTCCTTCACCAGTGCATTAGGTTCCGCTGTTGGGAGCGGGAGCAAAGAGCAGACGCTCACTGTGGGGTGTCACAGCCCTGTGGCTGACCCCTGTCGGTCCATGTGGTCAGTTCCCCCCTCACCTTGGGCAGTTGCCCTCCGTGGACTCGACTGAGGCAGGAGAGGGCACTCAGCTCACCCCAAGGTCCCACTGGCGGGAGTGGTTGGTACCTGAGGTCCCTTGGCACCTTGGGGAGTTCTCTGGGATAGAGCATTGTCCAGGCAGGACCCACGGTGAATCCAGAGCAGGCCGTCAGGGCTGGTGGCCCTGGTGAGTGGCGTTGGTGGCAGCGGAGCAGCGTCAGGGCAGAGGAGCTCTGGCTCGGCTCTCCTGGGTTGCAGACCCAGCATGGCGTGTGGGGCAGAGAGGGAGGGGGAGCGGCCCCCACTGGGCATCCTGGCCCATCCCAGCTTTCTGCTGCCTCCCTGCCCCCCGGGACAGGAAGGTGGGCGAGCAGAGGCTCCCCCAGCCACATCCTCCTCCCAGCAGGACAGGGCCTGATCCCAGGGGTGCCGTCCCCCACTCCCCGCTCTGCACCCCTGGCCGTCCCCAAGGCCACACCTTCTCGGTGCAGCCCCCGGGACACTGCACAGCTCTGCCTGCACCAGGGAGAAGTGGGCGTTTCTGTTTGTAAAGCACAGCCCTTTGGGGGAAACAGTGAATCACTGGGATTCCCACAGGTGGGCGATCAGGAGGTGACATTGTCCTCTTTGTCTCTGGAGGGCCACCGGCAACTTGGGGCACCGAGCCCAGGCTGGAACCCCGTCCCCTCTCCAGAGAAGAAACTTTATCTGCATAATTGGGTGCCTTTAGCTTTTGTGTATTGAAACGGGCATTTTTGAAGCAGGAGTCAAGGGGCAGCCTTTAAAGGGGGCATGAGTCCTCTGACCTGAGCGTCTGGGCCTCCTTCTAGTCCCTTCCCCTGTCCTCAGGAAGCTGAGCCCCCACCATGTGACGGCTGGTGCCAGGAAGGGTGCAGCCCTCCAGCCCTGTCCTGAGAAAGGCCCTGGTTTCAGCCAGGATGGGGCGAACGCAAAGCGGCAACAGTGCTGGTGGGCCAGACTTCAGCTAGCGGGGGTGCCCTTGTCACTGAGCTAAGGAGAGCTGTCTCTCTGGGTCACCATGACTGCCTCAAGTTGACGCTCAACCTTGCACATAGGCCCATCGAGCAGGGAGTGGGTGTCACCCAGGGCTGTGAGCTCTGAGGGACCCGGGACATCTCCAGCTCAGGTGCCCTCTCACCTCCCGTGTCACAGCTGAGTGAGACCAAGGTGAGACTCGCCGACGTGCCCTGGGTCACCCAGCCTGTCAGTGGCCGTGATGGCACTGTGCCCCTGCCCTGCTTTGGGGGGACGCCATCTGGCCCCTCCTCCTCGCTTCCCTCCCCCAGCCCAGCCTTACGCCACACCACGTGACAATCATTTTGTACGGATAGCGGGAGGAACGCTGTAAGGTTTTGTACGTTGGTGATTTCTTACCTAGAAAACCCACTGTGTCTCTGATTTCTGACATATTAATAAAAGAGCCTCTGCTTTGTAAATGTGCCTGTGGCCTCGTGACTTCTGCCAGGTACCGTGCTGTGGCTTCAGGTGCCATGAGGAATGGGGAGAGGTCCAGCCGTGGCCGTTCCTGACCCCACCTCAGCCCCACCCCTAGCCGTGACACGAAGCCCACAGGTATCAGGCTGAGAGCCTTTGGCCCTGGAACCGAGCTCCCGGCCCCCAGCCCAGGAAGAGAAGCACTGGGCAGAGCTGGCTGCATGCTGTCTGTAGACTTGACATATTTAATAGATTTCATTGGAAAAGAGACAGCTGGATCCCTTTACTGCCGGCATAAGGCAGTCGGGCAGACCCCAGAGGCGCGTGTTGAAAAGGCGGGTCACCGACGGCAGCAGGAGGGCGCCGGCGAGCGCTCCTGTCCTCCCGCGAGCCTGCGGGCACTGGGCCCCCAGCCCGGGGCTCCCCCTGAGGTAGGCACAGGCAGGGTCAAGTCGACTCCTGTTTCGCAGCTGGGGAAGCCCAAGGAGCAGGGCACAGAGGGGATGCCGGCGGCCGGCACGAGTCCTAGAGGTGGAGTCTGGAGCCATGCCGTCCACTCTGGCGGCCAGGAACGGGGCCAGCGCCACGCTGACAGGTTGGAGCCATTGGGTTAAATAAAATGTATTACCATTAATTTCGCTTGTTTCTTCCGGCTTTATTAACGTGGCGACTAGCGAGTTCAAAATTTGGCTATTTCTGTTGGATGGTGCAGCCCCAGAGCTCAGCCCTTGTTGGCCCGAGGCCATAGCACAGAACGTGTCCTGTCCACCGGCCCGAGCCGCATACTCCCTAACGCTGGGCTTGGCAGCTGCTTGAGTCCTGAGAAGGTGCGGGAGGGAGCAGGGCGACTGTGGGCAGGGGCCTGGGCCTCCACAGCTGCTCCAGCCCTGAACACTTTGGGGGTCACCCAGCAGCACCGGGCTGGAAGGCACCCAGTCATCCCCTAAACCCCGAACCCCAACCTTCGAGAGGCTCTGGAGATAATTCAGGGATGTCTCCTGGCTTCTGTCTGGAACCCCGTCCACGGTGAGGCCCGGTCTCCAAAGTCCCAGAAATAAGGCTGAGCTGTGCTCCCGGCTCACCGCAGCCACTGGGAGCATCTAGCAGGGAGCCCCCCAACAGGGCCACAGCCCCTGCCCCGCCACGCCTGCTGGGCAGCTCCACTGAAGATGCTTCCGCCCTCCGTCGTCCATCCTCCATCGCACCGCCTGCGGTGACACCTCCCCGCCGCCAGGCGGACACAGCTTCGCTCACACACTTTTCAAGTGAATCACTCCAAATTCAGTGAGCAGGGCCACGATGAGGAAGCTCGCGTAGAAGAGGAGCAGGCAGAGGCCGTAGGCTTTGCTCAGCTGGAAGCACTGCAGCGGGACCGAGACCAGGGAGCAGACGAGGCTGAGGCCCAGGGCGCCGGCCAGCACCCACACCAACAGTCCGTCCGGCTCCAGCTGCGGGGACAACGGGCAAGAGGCTGCGTGTCACTGGAGCTGACCGGCAAAGTGATGGTCGAGGGCCCCTCACGGGGGGCCAGGGAGGGACTTCAGCCTGCAGCTGCGGGGCCTGCCTGTGGGCGGGCACCCCACCCAGAATTTCCACGTCTGAAGCCACCTAGTGTGTGGTAATTGGGGATGGCGCCCCAGGAAACTAATATGATATACGTTACATACATATTTTCATGCAGTTGTTGAAAAGTTCTCAAGCGATACAGAAAAGGCAGGGGAACTGCCTTTTGCATACTTAGCATTTATCTAGCCTTTGTCAAGGACAACACCGGGTACCAGGCCAGGCGTTTCACACCTTCCCAACACGTAAGGGGAGCATTATGATTGTCACCTCTCCGCAGATGAGGAAACTGAGTCACTAATAAGTGACAGTCCCAGCTCTTAATCGATACCCTCTCCTGCCTCCCCATATGGTGACATGTACGTGCACATATGTGTGGATGCACATACACACAGACCTGTACGTCACAGCTGAAACCACCAATGGGCTCACACAACACGTATTGAAGAGCGGTCTGTGCTTTGCACCCAACAGCACTCCGTGGACAGACATCCTTCCACGGTGACCTTCCAGGAGGCCTTCTGTCTTAGGCAATTACCAGCTGGAGCATTTCCCAAGCTCAGCACAAAGGCGGTGGAATGCGGGCGTGGGCGGGGGGGCGCGTGCACACACACACACTCCACAAGGAATAAGAGAAAAGAAACAGGCCCCTCAGGGAGCCAGCCTCCAGCCTCATTATCTGGAACTGCCCGAGAATCGATCATGAAAGGGACCTATTAAGCCCGGGAAGAAGGCAAACACAATTTGCAGAGGGTGTTTATCTTTTAGCAAAGCAAACTTTTCAGGCGGTAAGCAGCTATTTGCTTACGGGCGTGGCCCCTGTGAAAGGCTGGCCCTGGTGCCGGCTAATTACAAGTTAGCCACAAGAGTCTATTCAAGAACGGGATGCTACTGGAGAAGGAGGTGGGCGACTGTGCCCATGGATGACGCCATCTTTCATCCGCACGACATTCCAAGTGCTTTCACGTGGGGAGCCCTAAAACCACAGGACTGGGCCACATCCCCTCCTCGTCTTAACTTCTCCCTTGTTTGGTCTCTGAGTCCACCTCCTTCAGAACAGAGATGCCTGATGTTGCGCCCGCGGGTCGAATCTGCTCTGCACGGGGTGCCATTTGCCATATGCAATGTTTTACAATAAAAAAGGTCACCTAGGAGTCTTGAATTCTCTAGAAAGTCTGGAATATCTGGCCAGGAGGCCCACCAGCATCGCCCACACATTTCGGTTACCTGCCGGGCCCGCCAGGTGTTTGAGTTTTCAACCTTGTTGGAACAGTGTTTCTCAAGTGTCCTACCTTCAGGGACCCCAGGGGCTGACTGGAAATGCAGATTTCCAGCCCCCACCCCCTGGGATGGATGCAGGGGTCAGGAGGCCTCATGCGCCCCCAGGAAGTTCTCGGGCACCCTTGAAGCGGGAGAACCTCTCATAGTCAATGTGAGACCCTTCTCCAAATCTGTTGGCCCCCGTTGTCTGCAGCTATCTTCAACAGATGGTGTCTTTATTCTCTCTGAGTCCAGCCCGTCCCCTGGGGGCAGTGTTGGGACAGCGTTCAGCCTGGCCTTCCCCCATGCACACTTATCCAGGAAGCTGTGAGAAGGTCACTGACTGACCCCATTTCACAGGTGAGGAAACCGAGGCTCAGAGATGTCCTCACTCCCTCAAAGTCACAGACTTAAGTGAGAGGATCAGGACCCAACTCAGGGCCTTCCTGCCCTTCCCCCAAAGCTACATCCTAGTGACCCTGTGAAATGGAAGGAATACATCTTTCCAACCTTATATGCAAAATATTTCTAAGATAGTCTACAAATCAGACCTGTCACAAATTCAGACAAGTCCTCTCGCCACAAAGTGTCAACTTGCGAGGCGTGGATCGTCTCCCGTCCGACTGGGGAGGACAAGGAGACAACATTACAAGGAGGTCGCTGGCAGACGCCTCTGGCCACTCACCTTCACCTCCGTGTGGCCCCTGGAGATCTGGAGCAGGCAGCCCAGCCCCACCCCCACCAGGATATCTGCAGCCGGGCTCAGGAAGTTTGCTGGAACAATCGCCCCGTAACCCTGGCCACACACCCTGTCGGCTTTCTTTACGGTCTGCACTCCACCCCTCGCCCCCCACAAAAAAACTGAGGAGATCCTCTCCGGTTTTAGCATCTCCAAGATGAGTGTCCAGTGTACACTCTGCACTCAGCCTGTAAGGATCGAATGAGGTGACAGAAATGCTTGGCACCCGGTGAGCCCTAGGTAGCTGGAGAAACCAAGGCTGGGTGAGGTGAGGTGACTACCGTGGTCCACTGGGGACTGGTGATGGAGCCCGGGTCAGGGCCACCTCGAGCAGGTGTTCAGGCGACACTGCTGCAAGCAGGGCTCCCTCCTTCCCACCCACCCTGAGAGTCAGGACAGGCCACAGCCCGGAAGCCAGGAGCAGGTCTCAGCCTGGGGATCACAAATGGCGGGGAGGCCTGCATCGGCCTGGCGAGTCTGTGTTTCCCCAGCCAGCTGCCTGCCGTGCAGCTCACCCCGCAGGCCCCTGCCTCGTGGAACCCGGGGAGAGCTGCACTTGAAGCGCTTTTAAACAATAGCACTTTATTTCACAACCAACAACATCTACTGCTCGTTGAGTATCTGCCACGTGCTGGGCACTCACCTTGGTGCTTGACCTCATCATCCGTCTTCACCCCAACCCCCTCTGAATTTACAGAGGAGACCGCCGAATAGGACGAGCTCTGAGGTCACACAGCTGGCACGTCGTGACACTAGAACTGGAACCCAAGACTGTCTGGTTTCGAAGCCCTTTCTGTTTCACAGCCCCAGGCTGCCTGACCTTGTGTTTCTATATAGACCAGCGGGTGGCAAATCACAGCCTGCCGGCCAATCTGGCCCACTGCTTGCTTTTATAAATAAAGTTTTATCAGCACAGAGTCACGTCCGTTCCTTTACATTCTGCCTATGGCTGTTTGACATGACGACAGCAGAGCTGAGTAGTTGCAAAACAGATCATGCCCCGCGAAGTCTAAAATGTTACGCTGTGGCCTTTTAAGAAAACGTCTGCCAACCCCTGAAATCTACAGACCACGACAGCTATACGCAAGAGGGAGGGGGTCTTCAGAGGGCACGCTCCTGCTAACACCACCGCGCTAACAATGAGAGCATCTGCCAGCACCGAGCGCTGGCCAGGCGCCAGCATTTCTGCCACCTCAATCGGTCCTTACAACAACCCTACCAGGTCGGTCCTCTCGACATCCCCCCTTTGCAGATGCAGAAACTGAGGCCCAAGCAGCTGTCACCTGCCCCAGTTGTTCAGCAAGAGCCAATCCTGAGTGGGGCTCGGAGCATGGCCCCCAGAGCCCGCACCACCAGTGCTGAGGCGACGACAGCCCCATGAAGGATACTGAAGATGATGCCACCGAAACAGGCCGAGAACGCCATCCGCGGGTAGCCCTG